CATAATCATCCATCACTGAATAAAATGAATCTAGACCTTGAACACGACTCGGACCCGGGCTGGGAGAATGCTCATCCAGCGGATCCTCGACTGGGGAGGGAGTGAGTCTGGCATGCGTCTTGGCTACGAGAGTGCGAAGGAATTACATATGGCATGTTATCAAGGTGTATGGTGTGCATCTGTACCTCCATCCTCAGAAATGAGCCGCTTGAGCTGTGAGAATACTCACCAAGTTGTGTCAGTTGCTGGCGGACTTCCCTTGCTGTGGCCAGCAGATGGTGCGATGATCCTGGCGCAGCAGTTGCAGCCATTTCAACGCGATAATCTTCATGGTTCCTGTAGACACCTCACGTGACTTCGGTGGCGACTCCTCCGCACTTCCTATTGCAGTCACAATAGTTTTTTTGCTGGAGGCATGGCTGGCTGAAGAGAGATAGCGGGACTGGAAGGTATGGAAAGCAAGCAGAGCAGATGTTGCTTCGCATGCTGTCCGTACTTTGCAGAGCCGCAGGTCGAAGTTGTAGGTTGAACTTCCTAGATAGTACGAGTGGATCTACTACTATTTGTTGGACTGGGTACATTCAAATTCGTACCGTTTTCGTACAACACACGTGACACGTGTCCTGGAAAAATCAGCCAAAATGTGTCTGCACGTGGATATGCCTGGTTCCCCTCTGGATTTGCGTGACTCAGCATGGCTGAGGCTGTTGTGGGTTTTGACTGGGAGTACGCACTTATAATATAATGATACGACATAGACAAGGACAACCTATGATTCTTGCCAATACAAATACAAAATATTAACCGACAAGCTCGCTGCAATATCAAGCTTGGCTATTTTCTTAACGTACCATCTGATTGGTTCGAACTTTCTGCTTCTGCAGTATACTGTGCAATAACAAAATTTCAGTCGGAGCAAGGTCATAAGTTTGCACAGCGAACACCCAGACTCCAAAAGTGATAGCGAGCCTTGTCCATATTCACCCTTACCTTAGGAGCCTGAGAGGGGTGCGTGTCCAATTGGTAACTTACCCTAGTATACTGCTCTACTGATTATTATAAGTCGCTCATTATCCAAGAGATATTGAAGGAGGCTTGCAGGTCTTGAAAATCCGTCGTTTTACAGGCGATAACCCTATCTATTATCACTTCTAATTACACTCCTTACGTGGTAGTCACAGTGCTCTTATCATCGATTCATCCTTCATCAACTTGAAGTGATATCAGAATCACCATGATTAAATATGCAGCAAACTAGAGACAAGTCGTTTATTGTTATATGTTCAATACCTTACTATGAAAACCAAAAGATAATAGCCAAAACAGAGGAAGCTGTTCAATACATTGGATGTCGTGGATATCACGCCTTCTGCGACGTCGCAGCCACTGGGGGCTCGATCCGTTCCACGCCCGCCATTTGCATCCTGCCATAAGGTCAACACCAGTGACATGTCCATCAGTGATCATAAACACTCACAGAGCCTCGTCCTCAATCTCTGTATGGTCAGTGACGCGAAGGTACACCATCGGTGCAGCAAAGATCATGCCAGCGACTGTGAGGCACCACGTTGACAGGAAAATGTTCATGTATCTGAAAACGCCGATTGAGCCCGTTTTGTTTCGCAAAATGGGATGAATAATGAACTTACGGGAGACTAGCACCATCGGCAGCCCAGACGCCTGCTGCACCTGCTGATTGCAGGGACTTGTCTGTGTGGGTTTCTTGATCAGTATCAAACTCGTACTTCCGATTCGAGGTCAAATACGCACAGAAGCCAGCGAACACAGCCAGCTTGGCGGGGTCGTTCGACATTGCACCCATTAGCCAGTATGCATATGTCTGCCACATCGAGTCCAGGAAGCCATAGAAGATCATGAGCCAGACATGGGCGGGGTAGTTCTTGTCCGAGAAATCGATTTTGTAAGCAGTAGCCACAGCTTCTTCAGCCCGGGTATATGTCCTGAGGATAGTATTGATATGAATTTAGAGGTGCAGTACGGTAAGATGGCTTACTTTTGGTAAAAGTATGCCCAGACGTGGACGACAAAAATCATGAAAAACACAAGGACCCAGCCGTAGAAGGCACGGACTCTGCGCCGGACTCTCTTTTGGTCAAGGACAAAGTAACCAATGAAGATGGATCCAAAGATTTGCGATGTCCAGTACATGAAGTTGTTGAGACCCCGAGTACGGATGTTGAATATTGCACCATTGTAATCATTGAATTCTGTACAACTTATCAGCAAGCACGCTGATCCTAAGAAGAAATGCACGAACGCCAGGTGTAGAAGTAATTGCTGGCAATGAACATCGGAAAGAGTAATATGATCCAAGGGTCAGTCTTCAGGGCTACGAACAAGCTGAAGAACTCCGTCTTCCAGGATGGATGGCGGACTGTGTTCACGCGAGTTCCGTCGGTGCGGATCATTTTGTTTGGATCCACCATGAACAGTGGGAGAAATACGCCAATGAGAGTCAAAATCAAGAAACCAACCTAATGAACCGTCAATTTCTGTTAGCAATAGCGGATCTAATGACTTACGTATGTTCCATTGCCAACTAGACACAACGAAATTGGTCAGTTCTGCACTGGAATAGGAATACCGTACCCCTTACCGCTATTTGCCTTATGGTAGAGAATATGAGCGTTCACCCATTCACAAATGTAACACTTTACCCACCTCACTCTTGAAATTGTTTCCAAACGCGACAGCAGACCCGACAACCCCTCCAAGGTTGAAGATGGCCCAAAAGATACTGATGAACATGCCCTTCTGAGCCTCAGTGGGGTATGACATCATTAACGAGCCCTGCGCGGTCCAAAGAAAAGCTGCACAGACGCCAAGGATGGCACCGGCTGTGACAACAAAGGCACCCGCACCAGGATGAATGTTGACAGCGCTAAAGAGCGATGTTTGAAAATAATTATAGATTGAACGACAAAACATCTTACAGGAAGGAAGCAATATACAACGAGTAGCCCCAGGTGCCAAGCATTAGAGTTAGTCGAGAACCAAGTACATTGTTAATGGAACTGGAACCAACCACAACAGTCACTATAGATAAAGTGACAGTGGTGACTCTGACTTACCCCGAAAAGAACCCGAAAAACGCAAAGGTCGCGTACAAGGTAGCGTTGGAATTGGCCTGGTCCGTACTGTTGACTTGACCACCACCCCCCAAGACCAGTAAGCGCGTTGAACATGCCGGGGCACATGAAACACACAAATCCCAACATCGAAACCTGGGTGATGGGATGTTGGTAGTATCCCCTCCATCCAGCTGGACGTTCAAAGACTTCTGCATGATGAGAACCAGAGTCCTCGCTGCTGCCACTGCCAAGTTTCTCGACTTCTGCTTGTGCGTCAGACATAGTGGCTCGAAGTCTGAAAATGGGGCTGATCACGAGGACCAATTATCGGACCACTGATTCTTTATAACGTAGCGTTATCATCAAGCGCTCATGTGGATTGAAGACCATGCGACACGCGGCGTAATGAGACCCGTGGCAAAGGCAATTGGAAGAAACGGCGGCTCGCGCTAAAATAAGCAATGCCGGCGAGGGAAAGCAAAACAAGAAAGGAACTGCACATACTTAGTGCACCCCGCGTTGGCCGAGAGGACAGCCCTGCGGCGTGTACAGGTAATGCAGCAGCTCTAAATTGTGCATGAGCAGACGCGAAATGAATCGACGATTTCATTAAAACGATATAATGAAAAATTGAAGAGATGTGAGCGCACTGAAGCCCTAGGAAGCCGCCTACTACCCCAAAAGGGTACACCGGCCGGTATACCCAATGCCGATATATCGGCACACCAAAAACTACGTATGACAAGAATGCAGAACATGCACAAGTCTCTCATGCATGTTCATTCGAATGCGATTCTGTACCGTCTCGTGCTCATTCCCAGCACATGGTGCATGGTGAATGAGCTGTCGAGACTTGTAACTCTGAGTCCAAAAGTAGCACGTAACCTGTACGATTGTACATTTTTGTTGAATGCTTCTCAAAATCAATTTGCATCACCAAGACCATAGTCCCTATAGTAACCAGGTATGAAACATTGAAATCAAATACATGTCCCATGTGTGCGCACTAAATCCACCGTTCACCATCACTTGACACTTTCACGAGCTTGGGATGAATTCTCACATTGGGTTCGATTCAGACGAGTAAACCAGTAAGAAAAGATGCAAGGCAACTGACGATGCTCATCGCTCAATCTCCGTGTAGTCCTTTAAGGCGAAATAGATCAAAGGAAAGGCGAACATCATTTCAGCAGTAAACTAAACCTAAAGCAGAAATGAATATAACAATGTTTGACATCCTTACTGAAAGGAACGAAGCGTACGTCGAGCCACTAAACGATAGCAGATACAGAAGACTGGAAGCACTCGTCGGAGGAAAGTATAAAACGTCAATTAGAACAGGAGCTCATTACGGTGGCTTCAATAGGACAACTCACAGTAAGCCAGCGAACACGGCAGCTTTGGCGAGGTACCCATCAGCCAGTAGTTGTTCGCCACATAAGAAGCCAGGTATACCGTAGAAAAATCAGTTGTCAGGGTAATCGGGGTCATTGAGATCTATCTTGACAGCAGGAGGTTCTGAGGATGCTCTAGCGCGAGTATAGGTCTTTTGAAATTAACTTTTATATCTGCCAAGAGGTAGATAGCGACTACAATAGACCAGTGGAGGAACGCACGCAAACGCTTCAAAGTGACAGATGGAGAATGAGTCAAAGATCCGAGCAGTTCAATACACCCGGTTGTTGAAGCTACGGGTGCAGATGTTGATCAAGGCACCGCTATAATCCTTGAATTCTGAAAATAAAAATCCATCGAGCTCCTGCAACGTTATTTTCACTGTGATGCTTGACTTACGCTAAGTATAGATATAGTCTCTGGCGAAAATATAACATTCGGAACAGGACGGCAGATGATCCAGGGGTACGTCTTTAGAACCACTGATAAACCCATCCGCCAGTGTGGATCATCTTGTATGGATCTACAAGGAAGACGAGCAAAACTACACCAATGAGGGTGAGGACGAGGAATCTGATCTGCAGAAGTACGATCAAATCAGTCACAAGAACTTGATCACAACTACAGAGGCACAGGGACCTACACATGTGCCGTTTTCAACTTTGTCTGGCTTACTTACTTACTTTCTGTTTGTATACACCGTACAGCCTGTATAGCAAGATGATTCGCCATGAATTGAAAGTTTGTCCCAAAGGCCACTACGGAGCCGACGAGGGCTCCCAGGTCAAAGATTCCTCATCTGAGCCTCGGTGGGGCATGAATCATTCCATATCAAGAACGTATATGCACCTAAGATAGTTCCAGCAAATGCAAAAAAATCACCTGCATCACGATGGATGTTCGTTTCCCTATTCACACCAGATAAGGAAAGAAAAGCAAGGGTAGCTGCATAGCGAATAGTACATGCATTGGCGCCGGTAGTTGTATAACTTGACAATTAGCGCCCAAGAGCGCTAAGGGGCAGTATGCCCGGGCGCATACAGCCACTATGCAGACCTGTGTGATTGTGTAATGATGGATACATCCATCGGGGCGCTGAAAGACTTCGGTTTGTTGAGCAGCCAAACTGTTGGATCCGTTCCTTTCTCTTCTTTGCTGCTTAAAGAGTTTCAAGAGCGTTTACACTTACCAACCCGAGATCCTTAGATTTACCCTTATGTCGTTAATATCGGGTATGGCCCGCATGGGTGGTGCCCCAGATATGATGTGTCAAATGGCCATCTTCAAGTGCCTTGGCTCCGGGAGTCAATAAGGGGAAAGTACGAATCCATCGGGAAGACATCTCACTGGAAGATAATTTGGGTGGTGCTAGCCTGATGCGGCTGCGCAAAGTTCAAACCAAGAATTGGTTACTACATCCAGGTGCTGACAAACGCTGCAAACACCGACAGACTCCGCGCGCCCCTACTAGGTCCCACCCACTCCTGGATAGTGAATAGATGTGCTATTCATGTTCCGTGTAAAATTTACTGCCAGTACGGAGTAAAGCAGAGTAAAGGATGCTTGAGCACTCACACGTCTGTGGAGACTCGAGAGGGTCGGTATCTGGCGCTCCGCGGTCTGCAATCTATTAAATCCCGCAAATTCCCATCACCAAGCTTTACAATCAATTGTTTCCAAGGACAAACAATAGTCTAGACTCGATTGGACAGTGGACCGAGATCACCAATTGATCATCAGTTCGAAGAGGAGCCCGGATGCGACCAGTATGCAAGACAGTGCACCAAGTTCACGCTGTCCACCATTAGCAGTGTCTGAGAATTGATTCATGTCCCATCAATACGTACAACAAATGATTCCTCCCAAAAGCAGCTATGTACAGACAAGCTCGAAGATACAAAAACAACGAAGATCTCATTACAGGTTCGTGTGTCATAAATACATCCTCTTTTGCTGCATGGAGATACGCCACTTTATTTCTGAGAGACTTCTGGAAGTCTCCCGACGTTTGGGCGGGCCAACCTGGGGAATCAATAAGTACGTAACGTAACAAGGCAACAAATTAACTTACAGAGCCTCATCGTCCATTTCCGTGTGGTCTTTTAGGCGGACGTAGACCAAGGGAAAGGCAAATATCATGCCAGCAGCCGTTAAGACCCAAGTAGAAATGAAAATGTCCATATATCTGTAAACGAAAAAATCAATGTCTACAACCTTTCTGAAAATAATAATAAAGCTTACGGTTTTTGCACAGCGTCAAGGCGCCACACAACAGCAGATCCAGCAGACTGGAAACACTTGTCTTGGGATAGTTAGGACTGGCGGCTATTGTGTGACTTGAATGTGAGATGATCTTACAAAAGCCGGTGAACACAGCAAGCTTTGCAGGGTCATTGGACATAGCGCCCATCAGCCAGTAGGCAGTTGTTTGCCACATAGAATCGAGGAGACCATAGAAAATCATGAGCCATACATATGGGGGGTAACTTGAATCGTGAATATCTATCTTGACGGCTGTAGGAGGGTCGGAGGCGCGAGTGTAAGTCCTGTGAAGTAAAGGGTCATGTAGGACAAAAGACGGACCGTGACTTGCGACTTACAATTGGTAGTAGTATGACCATACGTTGACGGCAAAAACGAAGACCACTACAATCGTCCAGCCCAAGAATGCACGGACACGTCTACGGAAGCGCCTCAGATCCAGAACGAAGTGACCAATGAAGAATGAGCCAAAGATCTGAGCAGTCCAATAAACGAAGTTATTCAAGCCGCGAGTGCGAATGTTGAACAGGGCGCCATTATAATCATTGAATTCTGAAAAACGTATCAACATCTTGCAGTGTCATTTTCCTGTGATGTTTGACTCACGCCAGGTGTAGAAGTAGTTACTAGCGAAGAACATGGGAAACAAAAGGACAATCCAAGGGTCCGTTTTCAGTGCCACAAATAGGCTGATAAACTCAGTTTTCCAAGAAGGGTAACGGATAGGCGTGACTCTGGTTCCGTCAGTACGTATCATCTTGTATGGGTCTGCAAGAAAGAGGGGCAAGACAAACGCCAGTAAGGGAGAGGGTCAGAAATACAATCTTCAGCAATATGATCAAATATTTTCATCACCATAACAGAGGAACTCACGTATGTTGCATTTCCGACTTTGTTCGCCTGATTTCTGTGGATCAACATCGTACAGCCTATATGAAAATGACGATTTACCTCGGAGTTAAAATTCGACCCAAAGGCTACTGCGGAGCCAACGACACCTCCTACATTGAAGATAGCCCAGAAGTAACCGATAAATGTCCCCTTCTGAGCCTCGGTCGGGTATGCCATCATCAAGGATCCTTGCGCCGTCCATACCAATGCCGCACAGGCACCCAGGATAGCTCCAGCAACGACAACAAAGTCACCTGCACCGGGATGAATGTTCGTTGCACTATTTCAATCTTGTTTAAGAACCCAAAGACGGAGAGCAAGAAAGGACTTACAGATAAGACCCGATTAACAGAGAATATCCCCATGTTCCGAGCAATAGACAACGTTTAGGTCCAAGCACGTTGTGCACGGAGCTAGACAGGGGATAAATCAAATGACCACACGATATCAAGCAATGCGAAAGACTGACCCAGAAAAGAAGGCAAAAAAGGCGAAGGTAGAATAGAGAGCGGATTCGCGTTTGCGGTGGTAGTTGCATCGACTTGGCCACCAGCACCAAGACCAGTCAGGGCGTTAAACATCCCCGGGCACATGAAGCACACGAAGCCCACCAAGCAGACCTGTGTGGCGGGGTGGTAGTAGATGCCTCTCCATCCTCTTGGACGCTCGTAGATCGCGACATGTCCAATAGATGAAGTTTCAGATCCACTCCCATGGGCCTTTTCTTCTCCAGTGACTGACATGGCAGAAGGAAGGAGGCGAAACACGCGGCGTTTGATTACGAGCACTGGCCGCGTTTTTAATTATATGGGCGCAAGGCCAATCGAGGCGCGCAAGAGCTCCGTAAGCAACTATGTTCTGCGGCAATATGGAGGCCCAACAACCTCAACTTAAGTGTGCCGTCATAAGGTTGAGTTAGGAATGTATGATGTCTCGAGTGTGACAGGTGACCTACTGTGGTATGAGTGGAAGTCTTCGCCAGTCTCCGCTTGATTCTGGAAGTCGATAAGAGAAGCGTTTGATGAATATGCTCTTGGGAAGATGCCACATGAACCCAAGTCCGAATAGAGGAATTTAGGACGTTATCTGCAAACTTAGAACTTAGTAACGTCGAGCGCTTGAATGATAATATACCGCAAGAGGAAAATTACCATGTCGCTTTCCATTCCCGATCATACAATGCCTGGGCACTCGCAGACGATATATTGCCGACTCCGATGGTATCGCCTACCTGTGTTCCAGGTTCCAAGTCGAAACGACGAACATAGTTGTCGAGACAAGCAGAGCCCTACATAGCCTTGACTCTTGAAGACACGTCCCATCATCGGAGATTGAATAACAGAAAGAGCTCTGGAGAGATCCGAAAGTTAACGACTGTAGTCAGACGACGATCTGAGCTAATCATCAGCAAGCACAACTCGCTGAGCGCTCACATCCACTATAAGTATTTTCGAAATCCTTGTTTACTGCGTTAGCCACCATCTGAAGTCTTGGTCTTATGGAGGGATCATCTAGCACATAAAATCCGAACTCAGTATACCCTGACTCGATTATCTATATGCAGATAGCATCCGTTTATTATAGCGAAGGTTTCATCTCCGTCCGATGGTAACTTTCAACACTTTGTAAACCTTCAAGCTTACAAGTTGGGACTTCTTTTGATATACTCATCCTATGAAATACGACTGGTGTGTGACTGCATGATGTTAGTCCCAAAGCTCATCCAAGTTTCGTTAGCGTTATTACTACCAGGCTTACTACTGGTTGGAGCTTGATTACGGTCATGGTACTCCATCGTTGGATGCATTTCATTCTATGGTCACCTGGATCAGATGCATATACACTTCGGTTCAGGTTTCCGACGAACAGCGGTGTCTTTGACAACATTTATGAGCAGTTACCAACGACTTGGTCCTAGCTTCATTCGTCATACCTGAGTTTAGAACATGAAATTCAAATTTCGCTGTGGCTGATCTACAAATATCATAGTGGCGGCGATCAAACTGACAGCGCCAGCAGGGCAGGAATTGTTCCTGAACTAGTACTGTCTGATGAGCCCTGACTATGACCCTAGCATAGCCTATGATGAGGCACTGATGTCACAAGGCCTACACCTGAGGATGATGCGATTGCTGGCAGTCGTTCGATTGGGACTCGGGGCGTGTTGTGGATATAAAATATGAAATAGAGATAATGCGGGGCGTATTCTGGCACGCCGTCGTGGAACTCTCGACACAATAGCTCGACGAGCTGAATGACCGAAGCCCATACTGTTTATCGCATCTGGTATACACTAACAGGAAGTAAACGATCGATTGATCACTCCTCTAGTGCCCCAAACAGGCCACGGCCCACGGATGGGAATACTGTCATCTTCAAGTTTCGGCAGTTCGCCAGCCGTCCACAAGGTTTGAATCAAGATGAGACCGCGCCAAAATACTGCAAGGGAAGATCGCAGGACAGCTGAAATAACGAGACTATTAGTGACGAAAGGATAGACTGGCACGAGGAAAGTCAAGTACCGAACCACTCCCGGCATGAATATGGGAGTAAAGTTGATCACTCTGCCCTGGTCATCTTTGGCAGACGAAATGTCCAATGTGGCTAACATGGTCACAATGGCAGACCACGCGGAGGCATCCGCAATATACCGCCCTGATTAAAGTCTATCTATCAGCGAAATATTTTGTAGCATTCAAACCACACGAACCTGGACATATACGCCGGCCAAAGCCGAAAATATATTGTGCGGGGTCATCAGTTGTTAGCGCGCCATCAACGTCGATGAACCTCTCTGGTATAAAACGAGATGCGTCGGGGTGCCGCTTTTCATCCCGTGTAATGCCCCTACAATCAAGTCAGTGTCACGAAAGTTGCGAGGAACATATCAAACCATGTGTTGTACGTGACGATTGTGCCTGGTGTACGATATAATAAATGATCATTGTGTCGATGGGACAAAAACAGCGCACCTTTTGGAATGAAATAGCCATCGTATACATCATCACTCAAGGTAGCATGTGGTATGCCTATGAATCTTCAGCACAGACCAGATAGATTACTTGGTGGAGAAGAATACCAAGAGGTACAACAGGCTGCCATCGGAAAGTCTCCCGCACAACTGCATCGATGTAGGGTAGCGATGCTCTGTCCTCGAACGTTGGCAGCCGATCTCTTCCAACCACCAAGTCGATTTCTGCTTGCGCGCGTTTCTGAACGTCTGGATATAATACCATGGCCAAAACAAAAACCATCAAAGTTGCCGAAGTCTGTAATAAGGATAAGCAAGGGTCAACATGATGGGGTCACCCACTTACCGTCTCATATGAAGCTGTGTGATATTCGTGTATGTCGAGAGCTCAATATCGCTTGTAAAAAAAGAGTACTTACCACCAAGTGTAGTACAAGCTGCTTTCTTCAAGGCATCTTCGAATACAGGTTTGAAGGCCTCATCTTGCGTCTCCATCCGTCGCAAATTTTCTGCGACCATTGAAGATCGAGCAGAGAACGGGCTGTCGGCCTTGAAGGATCGGATCAATGTCGAGAACCAAAGGAAAGATAAATACCCACTATGTGCTGTTGCGCATATCGAAATGGCACGTTGACCATTTCGTTGATGCGCTCGGTCGAAGCTCGAGCATTACGCTTGATTGAGGATCCCCAGCACCAGTCAGGTATCTTTAGTACTACATCCCACAAAAGTATATCTCATATTAACATTTTCTCATATAGGAGAGTTGAACTCACAGAAGGGAAAAGTCTTGAGCAACAATGCTGTCTCTGGAGTCAACACGCCTGAGGTCGAAGCCAGTGCCTTTACCACAATCTGTACCAGAGGGTCATCCCGAGCGATGACATCGTAGTCATATACGGCTGACATCACAACAGATAATGAAAATCTGTGAACAGGTAAATAATCGTTCAATTTTTGAAAATCATCTGCTGACGTTGCGAAGTGGTCATGGTAATGTTGAGGGTCATCGACTAGGTTGACGACTAACTCACGAGCCCGCCTGATCTGCATTGGGCGAAATTTGACTGCAGACTCGGGACGGAAAGTTTGGTGGAAGAGTCGTCGACAGCGACGCCATTCATCGCCATAACGCATGAATGTAAAGCTGATAGACAAGCCATATCTGCAAGAACCTCATATTGAGTAAGTAGAAGAATACTGAGATAACGCACGGCTTGAGCGTGGCCAGGTAAGGTCGATCGGAGTAAATCCGAGAACGCTTGTCCAATAAAGCTTCTGCGATGTGCTGAGAATTGACCACAACGATTTCCTGATCTAGAATTCGCACGAAGACCAAGTCCCCTGATATAATGATATGCAGTCACATATGCCCTATACTATCTATTCACGTACCATATGCAGCACCCCATTCGGTGTAAGTCAGCCAAGGCTCCTGAGTGTCAACAGATAAAACGTTCCCCAATAGTGGGAGTGGCACTGGGCCAGGAGGAAGAGAAAGATTATTCTGCTGCTTCTTGATGAAGCGTCCAAATGCCGTGACGGCAACAAAGGAAAGAGAAATGCCAGCAAGGATAGCAAGGTGACCATCAACTGTATTGGCCATGATTCGAGAGTAGGTTAGCAAACGGTATATAATGCAACCGTCCTTATACAGTAGACATACACAAGACCAGTGGCGAGTGGCATTGACCGGAGCATCATGCTGGATTGAACGTGTCAAGCCGCTTGAACATCTTTAGATTCCAGACTTTGGCTACATCCTTATGGTGTTCGCCTGTCGTAGATTTTGTGTATCAGATGAATAAGATCGCCGCCCACGCAGATGTCTCCAGGGATGTGTCTCTGCTCTTTACATCCCACATTCCGAAGGAAATCGTATTATGCGCCGTCCGCCAAGCAATTTCATAACATCTTGTACCCAAAGACCACAAATAGTCGAACGACAGGGTTTGTCTTGCGCGTGAATTGCTGGCGAGTCTACGTGCCTATCTGTTGAAATAGTCAGAACCGGTCATAGTCATATAATGCAGTAAGTATTAGGCCTGCGATCATTTGAGTATAGGCCCATATGGGGGGCTGTACTATGCGTCCACCAAAGCAAGAACTTACCTGCACAAGCTGAATGCTACTGAAGCATTCAATAACAACACTTTAACTAGGACCTACTAGTACAACTTGAACTTCAAGGTTTGAACGAGATCGTCTTACATAATCGTTGGGTCATGTGATGCAGAGCTCATTCTTCGGAATTCCCATCTCCTTCAAAAGTTCACTCTGGCGTGCCGTTCCCTTGCAGAAAAAAAGAAATTGATTTTTAAACTAAACACTGAACGGATGTGCTACGTTTGTACAAGGTCATTTTGGGAGAGGAAGATGAGTTTTGAAGTGGTTTCAGTCTAAGGGAAAAGGTGAGCTGCGAGGGTGGGTGGGCTGCCTCGTTGTGTCTTGGCTAAGTTTGCCCCCTCAGGGCTCTAGGATGGTTTAGAGCTGTCATTCTGAAGGTTAGCGAGGCGTCTGATCGCGTTGTTGCGCAATTAGACCTACAAAGAGGATGGTGGGGAAAAGAAAAGCTAAGTCGACGGAATGTACGAGGTCAATGGTCGACACAGCAGAGAAAGAATAGGTGCGAACATCGTCACGCTTGTTGTTCACTCAAAAGCTTAACTGTATTTCCTCCACTCGCTCGTGCCTCGCTACGTAATAGAGTGTCAACCTTGCTCTGCACTCTTTCATCCTCCTCTCGCTATCTTTGTTTAATCAAGATCTAGATCACCGCGCACATGCAGACTTGCATCCGGTCTTGCTTGTCATGACTATGTCTTTGCCCCAGACATCCCACACTCTTGTCTGGATCCACTCAGCAGAGTCAACACTTGCCATTCGCTCACTGTGATCTGCACACCACACTGAATCCACATTCCACGTACTATATGCTCTGTCCATTTAGCAATGACCTTCTTCGTCTCAGCGCTCCAAAACCTCACTTTCCTATCGCCGCTTTCGCTCGCAACAGCGCTGCAATTCGGAGACAGTGTCGTGGTGAGCACATTCCTGCCATGACCACTGGCGTCTTACCTATCTGGTCTCAGAGAAGACATAGTCGGCGCTTTGTGTACAAATCACGAGTCACGACTGATCTTGAAATATGTACGCTAGTGAGGCGTACCAAAATATTACAATTACAATACTCGTCTGTCAGTGGTAAGTATTGCAGAAGACCCTAAGGTATTATTTACGAGGCGCACTATTTAGGCATGCCTAGTGCTTAAATCATGGATGATCAGTGGGCGTTGTAACGGGGAGTACTGTGTGGGGAACCAAGGCCAGACCTCTACGGCGGGAGGCTACGGCTCTCTCTATCCAGGACCGACTACGACATACGCGAGGACTACCGACTACGAGCCAGGACCCTGCCACTGCCGACCTGCCCTGCCAGAGCGCCCCGCTCCAGCGTTTGAGTTGAAGTCGAAGAAGTTTGGCATCCATTCGTTCAAACGTCTTTCAAAGTACGTCCAATCCTGCGTCCGCTTCGCAGTTTAAGTGCTATGCGAATGAAGTGCTGAGATCTGTGACTTGAGCCTAAGGTACGGCATGCTTTGCATAATGGATTGTGCAGATGGTCATAACAATCATTCGACAAGCGTGTCGCATTTCGTCTTCACTTCACATTTTTCTAGCCATTTTATCTTTGAAATCAAATAGTGTCATACGTCTGCAAGCGGTGTAGTATGATTTTACCGTGTGCGGAAAATATCATATTCGAATTTCGCTTTGGCTGATCATACTGACATCTACAAATGTCAGTGGCGGTGATTAAACATCAACAGCGCCAGCAGGGGGGGAACTGTTCCTGAACTAGTACTGTCTGATGAGCCTGACTGTGACACTAGCCTAAGCAGCACATGTGCATTAGTCCATCTTCCACTTTCGAGAGCTATGCGAGTGAGGCGCTGACGTCACACGAGGTGTGCACCTGATTGCTGCAGGGCAATCGTTCAATTGGGACTTGAGGCATGTTGTGGATATGAAACAGAGATAACGCAGTGTATTCTGGCACACCATCACAGAACCATCGACACAATAGCTGGACACACCAATACTGTTTATCGCATCTGATATACACTAGCAGGAAGTAAACGATCGCTTGATCACTCCTCTATTGCCCCAATCAGCCACGGATGGGGACACTGTCATCATCCCTTCTTTCAAGTTTCGGCAGTTCGCCAGCTGTCTACAAGGTCTGAATCAATGTGAGACCGTGCCGAAATACTGCAAGGGAAGACTGCAGGAAAGCTGAAGCAACGAAACAGTTAGTCATGACAGGTTGGAATGACATGAGGAAGCCAAGTACCGAGCCACTCCCCCGATGAACGTGGGTGTAAAGCTGATCACTTTATCCTGGTCATCTTTGGCAAAAGAAATATCCAATGTGGCCAACATGGTCACAATGGCAGACCATGCAGAGGCAACAGCAGTATACCGCCCTGATTAAAGTCTATCTGTCGGCAAAATATTTTGTAGGATTCAAATAACACGAACCTGGACATATACGCCGACCAAAGCCAAAAATATATTGTGCGGGATCATCAGTTGTTAGCGTGCCATCAACGTCGATAAATCTCTCCGGTATAAAACGAGATGCGTCGGGGTACCGCTTTTCATCCCGAGTAGAGCCCCTACAATCAAGTCAGTATCATGCGAGCTGGGAGGAACATATCGGACCATGTGTTGTGCATGATGATTGTGCCTGATGTGGGATATCATGAATGGTCATTGCGTTGATGAGATAAAAACAGCCCACCTTTTGGAATGAAATAGCCATCATAGACGTCATCACTCAAAGTAGCATGCGGTAAGCCTATGAGATTGTCTTCAGCACAGACCAGATTACTTGGTGGAGAAGGATACCAAGGGGTACAACAGGCTGCCATCGGAAAGTCTCCCGTACAACTGCATCGATGTAGCGTAGCGATGCTCTATCCTCGAAAGTTGGCAGCCGATCTCTCCCAACCACCGAGTCGATTTCTGCTTGTGCGCGTTTCTGAACGTCTGGATATAATACCATGGCCAAAACAAAAACCATCAAAGTTGCCGAAGTCTGTAATGAGGATAAGCAGCGGTCAACATGATGGGGTCACCCACTTACTGTCTCATATGAAGCTGTGTGATATTAGTGTATGTCGAGAGCACAACATGGCTGAAGAAAAGTGTACTTACCCGCAACACCAGTAGTAGCTGCTTTCTTCAAGATATTTTCGAATGCAGGTTTGAAAGCCTCATCTTGCGTCTCCATCCGTCGCAAATTTTCTGCGACCATTGAAGATTGAACGGAGAACGAGCTGTCCGCCTGGGGAAGGGTCGAATCAATTTCTGGAACCAAGGGGAAAATAGATACCCACCATGTGCTGTTGCACATATCGAAATGGCACGTCGGCCATTTCATTGACGCGCTTGGTCGAATCTCGAGCACTGAGCTTGATCGAGGATCCCCAGCACCAGTCAGGTATCTTTAGTACTACATCCCACAAAAGCGCATGTCACGTTAACATTTGCTCATATAGGAGAGTCGAACTCACAGAAAGGAAAGGTCTCGAGCATTAATGCTCTCTCTGGGGTCAACAAGGCCGAGCTCCGATCCACTGCCTTTACCACGATCCGCACCAGAGGATCGTCACGAGCGATGATATCGTAGTCATATATGGCTGACATCACAACAGATAATGAAAATCTGTAAACAGGTAAATAATCGTTCAATTTTCAAAAAAATCATTTGCTGACGTTCCGAGGTGGTCATGATAATGTTGAGGGTCATCGACTAGGTTGACGACTAACTCACGAGCCCGCCTGATCTGCATTGGGCGAAATTTGACTGCAGACTCGGGACGGAAAGTTTGGTGGAAGAGTCGTCGACAGCGACGCCATTCATCGCCATAACGCATGAATGCAAAGCTGATCGACCAGCCATATCTGCAAGAACCTCAGACTGGTTGAATAGAAGAATACTGAAATAACGCACGGCTCGAGAGTGGATAGGTATGGTCGATCGGAGTAGATCCGAGAACGCTTGTCCAATAAGGCTTCTGCAATGTGCTGAGAATTGACCACAACAATCTCCTGATCTAGCATTCGCACGAAGACCAAGTCCCCTGATATAATAATATGTACTATGTATGCCATATACTATCTGTTAACGCACCATACGCAGCCCTCCATTCGGTATAAGTCAGCCAAGGCTCCAGAGCGTCAACAGATAAGATGTTCCCTAACAATGGGAGCGGCACTGGGCCAGGGGGAAGAGGAAGGTTATTCTGTCGCTTCTTGATGATCCGCCCAAGTGCCTTGACAGCGACAAAGGAAAGAGAAATGCCAGCAAGGATAGCAAAATGACCATCAACTGCAGGGACCATTATTCGAGGAGTGGGTTAGCAAACGGTATCGATTATGCAACTCAGTGATGTATCTCATATTGCTATATATATGCGGGTGCCAGGCGCTTGGAAGGCGGAGCAGATGATCGAGCCACATAGGGTAAGAAAGGATATGATCAAGGGAAAAGGTACTGTGTTTGCAAGCGATGCATGATGTCGCTCACAGTTGCTTAGTCATCAAGGACATCAAGGACCGGAGGACGCAGGTCGCTATGAATAATGCTGGGTCTGAAATTTGAAAAATGGTTTACCTCTGCCTCCAACGTTGTATATGCCAGACGCTGTACGTACTACGCTACTAACTAAACTCACTCAGTTATTGTTTTGTGTTGAACTGCAGCATTGACGAGTCACGACTAATGTATAGTGTGTTCCAACTCCCGAGATGATACAAAATCTTGGCACCACTAAAGGATATGTTACGATGTGAGCTGCAATACTTATATCATGCGCAAAATAACTATGTTCATGATGGTCTTGTTCGTTTCTCACTCATCGTCACAGTATATTATCATCAGAGAACCCGACAAGTCTCGTAGAGTGTTTGACGTTGACTGTGGGGCTTTGACGTTATGATATACGACTTTATATTGCGTTTAGCGATGAAAATCAAGGACATGCTCTGCATGTATTGGCATATAATGTTATCACCAGTCCTCTGATGGCTCTGTGGCTCTATGGCGGTCCTGGTCTGTTCAAGGATGGACAGACTCGAGTGGTCAGACCGGTCAACATCAGCGCCGTGCAGGGTGGATCAACAGCCGATGCAGAAATGAGCGCCTGGCCTACTATCACAATAGGTTTGAGTGAAGATAATGTTCATTCCACGGGATCTCCTGTTCCCGGGGCCAACAGCCACGAGGCTTTCCCGCCATGCCTCTTCCACGTGCGTGTAAAGATTAAAAACGTTGGCGGTTGTGCCGAGAAATTTTTGCTTCCCCCATTCCTTCTTCCACCTATGTCCACAGCACGAATAATGCACAACACGGCCCCGCGATCTAGTCCCGCAGCTATAAACACCGACCTCCTAACCAGCGAGTAAGTGGCGAGTTAGACTAAGTTGACTATAAACTTATGGACACACAGGAATTTGATTGATGCGAATCCAGTGATTGAGGAGCCTGCCATGTCCATCGAGGTCGACATTAATGAAAATATGTGAATGTCGAACAATCAACATGGGATACTTGACGTCTGACTTTATTATCCCAAAGATCGGGCGCCCTTAGGCTGGAACAGGAACAGGTCCGAGATGAGATCGAGCCGAGTAACGCGAGTGAGCAACATGTGGCCTCCATCGAGGGAGGTCTGGCCAGAACTATGTAAATATCAACCAACCAACACAGTACACTTGACTAACTATATTATCTCAAAGGTCAAGCACTCTGGAGCAGACCCCGGACAATGAAAAAGAGCCGAATAAAACGAAAGAGAATCCTGCGGTGTCCATCGAAGGAAGCCTTGCTAAGATGTGACTGTCAACTCATCAGCACCGTGTACTTAACGTTTGACCATGTTTCTTAAGGTCAGACACGCTGGGGCAGATTCTCGATGTCCTCAAAGAATCGACCATCGCAGAAGAACGCGGAAAAGATGATAATTCAAAGTTTTGGGCGACGTATAAGAAAGTCTCGACTGAGCACGACGACGACTTCCTCGGGCGGGCCAATGATGATATGGGCATTATTCTGACTTTTGTGAGTTTCCTTCTACGTTTCCCAATACAAGTCTCACAGGCGTATTAGGCTGGTCTGTTCTCAGCGGTCAACTCCACCTTCATCGTCGGAATGCAGCCTGATCCAGGAGACACTACCAATGCCCTCGTCCTGAATCTGATCCAGATAATTGTTGACGGCCCAAATTCCGTACCTAACATCAATACTCTTTCCTCATCTACGGGATTTTCATCTGCGACAGTCTGGATGCAAACACTTGCCTACGCCAGCCTCGCATTCAGTGTCTTGGCTGCATTTGGGGCTGTCTTGGGCAAACAATGGCTGAACTCTTACAAGTCAGTTCGAGGACGAGGGTCTCTTGAAGAGCGCGGCATAGAGAGGCAGATGAAGCTAGATGGACTAGAATATTTTTGCCTCCGGACCGTCTTGCAAGTATTCCTGGTGCTACTCCAGATTTCGCTCCTGCTCTTCGGCCTTTCGCTAAGCGCCAACATGTGGGCCCAGCAAACCACCATATCCAGCGTCATCATCTGCACCACAGCTTTTGGCATTCTATTCTACGTGGGCACTACACTTGTGTCAGCGTTACGTCCGGATAGTCCCTTCCAGACGCCAGCCTCCAAGCTATTTGTTGCCATCCGCCAAAAAATTATTCCAGATAAATCTACATCGACTCGTCGCACACTCGCTAAATCATCCGCCGTTCGTTGGGTACTGGAGACATCGACGAACCCTGAAATTGTTGAGGCTGCAGCTACGATTGTACCTTGCGTGCCATGGCCCCCGAACCTTGATGCTTCAGCAGCCTTTGCACGTTTGCGTGATAATTTTGCAGCGTGTAATGACAGACAAGAGCTATATGTAAAGTTTGGCAGAGCCATGGCCTATCTTTGCATCCAGCCGGTGAAAATCAACAAGGAACTTCTGGGGTTTCTCTGGGATGATAAATTTAGCTCAACTCGAAGTCGTTTCATTCGCGATGCATTCATGGCTGGAAAGGCAGCATACGATCAGCTCAAGGATACACGAGAAGAAAAAGATAAACAGAAGCATCGGGCCAGCTGCACGCACTGCTCTGAGAACAATGCTTGTCCACGGAATCCGCAATCAACTTTCACGTCCGGATGATGAAGTCTTGATTTGGTATGGTGATTTGCGCTGGCGTGCACAGCGACGAGCGTGAGCCCTAGCTGTGAAGAATTTGATTGGCTCGTCGACTACCTGGAGGGCGACGCAAACACAGATGATGAAACAACAGCTGGCGCTTTGCTTGCACTCAGCGCCGTGCATGGACTAGGGAGCCCTACCAAGCAATATTCCTACATCAAGTCGCTGATCCGCTGCATGGAACTCCACCAGACCTCTCCGAGTCCGGTATTGCGCGTTAAGAGCTATGTTCAAAGCTCGTAAAGAACTCGAATCACTAACGCCACAAGATGGCGATGCACAACTCCTGGATCACCTTTCTCACTCTCTTTTAACTGTCGTGCGCCCAAATGATGACCAGACAGTCCACAACGCTGAACCTGACGCCCCTTTCTGCCAAGAACGATACTATTGCTACATCCGCCTCATCTATGCCCTGACAGGGAATGACAAATGGTGTCGGCGTCTGATCCGTGATGGACATGACAAGTGGTGCATTTCTCTGGTTAACAGTGTCTCTCTAGGTGATTATTTGCGAGTCGGATCCTGCCTTGTTATGATTTTGGACCGTTTCAAGCGTGTCACGTCCTTGCCTGATGATATTCCTTTCATTCTTGCCGAGGAGAGGCGGCAGTTACCCATCGCAGACGCATGGGAGACAGCACAATATGCCTCACAGGACGACCCCTACGTTGATGCAATACTAGCCCTCGTGGAAGCGACGAGACGGAATTTGGAAGCCTCTGGTGTCACGAGGGAATGGTTAGATCTCCCTGAAAAGGTGAATAGAGCTAGGGTCAATTTACAGAAGAAGCAAACGTTCTATGTGAAGGCTGGTATAGCCCAGGCTGATATTGAGGCCGCGTTATCATCTATGCAGGACTTGCGCACCGAGCTGAATCGTAGGATCGAGGAATGAAACACATCGCAATGGGACAATGGAGCTTCGGGATCGTGAAAGACATGCATCCGTATCAAAGTACTTTTACGCATTTGTTACACATGTTGTTCGCATAGCATAGCTAAGCACCTGGTTCATAAGATAGATATCGTTTAATCACAAAATTGGTATGGCGCTTTACAAAAGTTTTTTCACCTGGTACTCGTTCCAGCATTAAGTATGTGTCAAGAAGTTGGCAACTGACGCTTTGGCACCGCCTTCAAGTTAAGTGTCACTGATCCGACCAAGAAGTTCCCTGTGGCAAAGCGATTCGAACCACACGTTGAGCAGAAGTCCGACTTCCGTTCAGGCATTAGAAAATACACCTGTGGATACCAGAAGCTAGGAGAGCAAGACTGGGATGATTCTGGACTGGACAGCGTGACATGCCACTAGTGTACATCCTGTACTTCAGAGATTATGATAAGTTCAGAGCGACTTGCCATCTTGACACAAACGCGCGTTACAAGGGCAATTGATAAACACAGTTGTAGGTACTTGAACGAAGCACACTCAGCATCCTGTGGCGATTTACACGGTAATCAAAGTGTCTTGACTTGTGTTTTGCCATTCGTTGTGTCCATTAACGAAGGTGGATGATGACCGCACCGCGATGGCGAGCACCTATTTAGAACGCAGAGGGATGTTATGATTATCGGTGTCGGGCTATTACTTTAGTGTGTTATATGCTACATGCATGAGTCATACCATCTAGATGTAAACAAAAAATATAGTGTGCATGTCCTGAGTGCTAAATGACAATGTAATGGTTACCTGGAGGTACTCGACACCGCGTCGTGGACTTGAAAAGAACGCAAGGTCGCTGACTACTCGGCAGTAGCGCCGCAATGAGGAAATTCGGTTTTTACTCCTCCTCCCTGCTGGTTTGTTTCACCACGTCGACTGTCCCAATCTCTGGAGCCCCAGTGATGGTCAATGCTGAGCTGCCATCCTCAAGCACTTCCTTGATTTCACTGTTCAAAATACCTCCATTCTCCAGGTGACCCCAGACAATTTTTTCCCTTCCCATTGCCTCCTCCTCTGCCTCCGCCCTCAACGTCTCTTTCCTCCCGTCTCTCGATAGCTGACGCAATACCTTAACACTTGTCGACGGTGGTCGGAAAAGCCTGGGATTGAACGACGGAGGGCTATTATTATCGGCTTCAGGTCCTTCCTCCTCTACCAAACCGTTCTCGACCATTGCAACAGGGCTCTCGGCACCTGCCACCACATCGTGTAGTCTGCCTATTGTTATTTCCTCACCCTCACCTGAAGGGCAGGTAGCGTCCTGTTGTCTGCCGAAATCCAGCGCATTCCACCATGCCTTCATCTCTTCCGGTCCGCTGATATTTGCTGGGAAATTCCACGCACGGAACTGCCTATCTTTGGCAGATGCAAGGTTGGCCCGGATTCTGGAGGTTTCTAGCGAGCTATGCGAGACGGTCCAATGGAGAATCCCTTGTAACACCGAAAATATTAACATGCATGATGACAAAATTTGAAGAAAGATGTGGCTACGCACAGTTCTCGTCAGGCGTGACACCAATCGCTTTTGAGCCCCATACAGGCTGGCCAGCGACAAAGTTCTGCACCTCTACGTCAATCTGAACGATTGGAGGCTCCTCTGTCTTCACTTTGTCCTCCTCCTCACCATCTTTCCCTTGCTCGACGGCCTTCGTTTCATCCTCTACCTCCTTCAAATCTACTATGTCCTGTCCCTTACCTTCCTTCTCAGCATCCCACTCGACAGGCTCCACCCATATATTCATCTTCGGCGAGCGCTCCCGTGTCTCGAAAGTACATTTCACGCTCTAATCAGGATTAGACAAATCAATAAAAAGTTGCAGAAGACAAAACGGACTCACCCTCTCCCCAAACACTCCAACAATCTCATCCATTACCATTTCCAGCAGTTTCACACACTTCTCGAATACCCGCGCGCCTTTGGTAGGCGTACTATTGCCGTTGACAACACCAGTAGGTTTCACATCTTGTCCAAACAAGCGCGCATCCATCTCCTCGAGCGAGATGTACTGGAACCCGAAAATGCGGGCCGTGTTATGGTAAGCGACAAATACACCATCCATGTTGCCGATACGAGCTTGGAAGCTGGTATGGGATAGTGTCAAGACAAGAGACAAACAGGATGCAACGCGAACATACCTGTATTTCAGGAATGCGCTTCGAATTAAATCGTAATATTCTTTCTCGAAGCTCTCCAGTGGTCCATGAAGCGTACGAATGAGGTAACCTGAGTTCTCCTACATTTAACGAAATCCGTCAGCCAGAGTCCCGGTTCACAGTATACAGTATGAATGCGAAAGTACTGAGCCATTGATATGTAAATAATGTGCTCCGATAGAACTACAATAATGGATGAAGATCAGAAACAAACAAAGAATACGCACCTCGAAATTTAGTAAATCTAGTCGGATTGGGACCGCAGCACGGGTCTTGACATCAAAAACGCCTGTTCCTGGTAAGCGCGGGTCGACGCAATCAAGTTGGGAGCGCATCAAAAAGCGGTCACTCTGTCCCATGAGTCAGCAAGTCGCCCATCGTCAATCATACCATAGAACACGGAGGCTGTCAGAAACTCACGCACGAGAAAGCGTAAGAAAAAACCGCACCTTCGCATACCGATATGCCTCCCTCCTTTTATCTTCCTCACCTTCCGGTAGGGCAGGCGAAGAGCGCAGGAGAGTCTTGAACTCAGGTTCCGGGACTGTCAAGAATTTTTCGAGGAGAGTGCCCTGTAATGCGAACGCATGCATTAGTTACGTGATACGCAAATCAAAATCCATAATGCATGTCACGTATGAAAAATGAGGAGCAAACAAAAACAGAACAGAGTACACCCGCCCGACTCACCATCCAGGTCAATACATTCTTATTACTGTCATCCTCGCCGTCTTTGTTGGAGTCGACCGCCCATACACCGTCTTTGTATCGTAACACGACTGATACGGGCATACGCTGGCCTGGGGTAAAGTCCGTTGGCTGTGAATAGACATGTCAGCAAGTATTAGAATGCGTATAAGCAGAATGGGAGGGTCTATAGATGCGTCCAGGAACGTGTAGTGAAATGGAATGATTAAGAAGCAAGTGGAGACCGCGCGTCAAGGCAAAAGAGCATACGTTACATGTCAAGAGCTCGATATTTAGGTTATTTAACTGCACCGCGCAACACATAGATTTGAGAAAGAATGATAAAATTCATGCCCAAAAAATCAGCCTCAGGAACCGTAAAAACAACCCACCTCGTGCGCAAAAGCGCCGCTTAAAACGCTCGTATCTACTTCCTTTCCACCAGAGATGAGGAAGTAAACGTGGCTGAGCAGACCGGTGAGGGAGGATGTGGAGCCAACATATGGTCGGGAGTGTATTTTGGCGAGGGTGTGGAGGTCCTATGAAGTGCGTATCCTAAGATTTTGTAGAAAAAAAAAGCAGGGGTCGAACGTACATGATCATGAGAACTCCGTATAAACCCAGTGACGCGCTCGAACGCAAAATCTGTAACTTTGGGTATGCTCTCGAGCCAAGGTGTGAAATTATATACACGTGAGCGTGGATCTTGGAGCCAATGGACGCCAGGGCTACGAAATAAAGTTAGAATGGCGTCCACAATCCACAAGGCACAAAGACGCGCTTGAATAACACCCTATCAAGCCCATGTGCAAGCCGCGCAATAGGCTTGTGTTCTGAGGGTGGGTCAATATCTGGCGATACAAATGTCAGAACCACGTTCAAAACCTTGCAAATGTTGCCAAATAACACGAACCTTCCAGAATATTGTTGATAGAGCTCGGTCCGCTTGATGAAGGATCATTCACATCACGCGCGTCGTCGAAGAGACCCTCTACGCGGCGGGTGTAAGGTAGGGGATGACGTTGATGCGGCGGTTGCCCACGTCTCGTAGACTTGACCCGATTTTGTGGTCCGTCGCCACTGAAAGACTCCCGCAATTCATGATTCTCATTCTCCCCCGGTCGAAGCGCTTCACATGATAGGCCAAAACCAAATGAAAAGAAAGACTATAATGATTTCATGAAAAACTCACCGTCCTCGCCCCACCCTGTAATCCAGCTATCCTTCGCCAAACGTTTGGTCTTCCCAGAACCTTCGAACAGTATCTGCATTAGCTCCAAACGCTTCGCGTCGAACCCTGCAAGGGAAGCACGCGCTGATTCTACAGCAGGTCGTGTTCCACCACCACCAACTTTCCTTTTTTTTGGATGCTTCTCCTTTCTCCTTTTCTTCGAGACACCTGGCGCTGGAACGACATGTTGAGAATTTCGAATGCATGAGTTGCTGCGCGAGTCACGCTGGCTACGCAAAGAGCGCGAGAGTTTCCCAAGTACGTGTACAGGTCCCTGCTCATGGCCACCCTTTTGGCCTTGCTCATCATTCACAGTCTCTCTGCTTCGGCTATCAGTATTTCCTAAGTCCACGCTTTGACTCCGGTCCTGGCTCTGGCTCTGGTTTGAGCCCGCGTCCGAATTGGCATTTAAAACGCCCGCAGAAACGCCAAATGCTCGTCTTCTGCAAGTGAGTGCACCGATAGCAATGGAACGCGCATTGTGGAGACGGTGCATCCGAAAGTCGTAGTTCAAAAGCTTCAGTTTTTTGAGTTTAATGAAAAGCTTTTTGATGGGCGCTTATTTACATAACAATTCTCAATAGTCAAAATCAGATTGCATTTCAAGTTGGGATTGTCTATTGATTCACACGTGCTCCCATGCACCCGTGAAATTTATCCAGACTTCAGAACCAACCGCATCGATCAAGTCAGCAGCGAACTGCGTATCATCTTAATTGTGCCAATCAACAACAATGCAATGCGAAAGCAGAAACACGACTCACTAATATCCAGTCGTACCACTCATGGACTTGCCCATCGGTAGACATCTTAAATACAAAACCAGTGATTTTGAAACTATTAACATTGCAAGGTGAGTGATGAGGTTCGATCCTGGACTCGGTGCAAAGTAAACTGCTCATACTCACATTTCTGTTACCGCATTTCAAACCTTTGGGCAGCAGTCGTTGTCGACGTTGCAATGTTGTTGTGCTGAGTTGCACGCACTGACAGAAATGCATGCTGCCAAAGCAGTTAGGACGACGATGAAGGAGAAATGCATGATTTGTGCGAGGTGATACGAGCTTTGTTAATGAGGAACTTTGACTAAAATCACTGAGGTGAGGGGTACTACGCTCAACACGGCTTACTTTTATATCGTGAAAATAGTGCTGTGGGCAAAACTTGAGGTTCTATTGGGTTGGCAGCTTGATTGCGCCTGGTAATTACGGGTAGAACTCCAAGACGAGGATGTCAGAAGAACTTTGGAAGTTCAACTATCGGCCTAGCAGATCGGTTGTGCCTGGGATGACCGTACTTCAAGGATGCCAGAAGAATCTTGGAAGTTCAACTATTGGCCTGGCAATTGGTTGCGCCTGGAACGACAGAACTTGGCATCGACAATATCGGAAGAACATTTTAGAGGTATTGAATTCAAGTCGCAAAAAATAAGGGCAAGGTTCGTGCATGGCCATCTCAATTCCGAGTCTTGCTAAACATTCAGCATTAGTCCGTTTCCACCGATTTTCATTCAAACCATTATCCACAGCGAATACCTCACAAACGATTTTGTACATTCAAATCTCCCCAGAGCACACCGACTCTAGCCATTCAACATCACTCCTAACCTTGGTGAGGTTCTCGCACCCATCTGAAGTGATCAATATGTCGTCCTCAATGCGCACGCCACCAATTTCGCGGTACTCCTTCAACAAGTCGTGGTTCACATATTCAGACTTCTCTACGGTTTTGAGTAGATGTTCATGGAAGTAAATCCCCGGCTCAACAGTCTATCGAAGTAAGCAGGTGAGTAATCCACGCTAGGGGTTCGGACTTACCACAACCATGCCTTCTGCAAGCGGCAACCGGAGTCGTAGGTACGTGTAAAAACTGGGATGCCCGACTGTATCTTGTGGAATAGTCGTATTGTTTGTTGGTTTACTTGCACTCGGGACATCGTGCACATCCATCCCCAGCGAATGCCCGACTCCGTGAGGGAAAAAGGCTGAGCTAACTCCAGAGCGCATAATCTCGTCTTTTGGGCCTTTGAAAAGTCCAAGACCGATGAACCCTTCCACGAGAATCTGATGACAGAGCAGCTGGATAGTATCCCAGTGGACGCCAGGTCTGAGATTTTTCATCGATTTCTGTGAAAAAGTGTTACATCACAGTGCAAAGGATGCATGCAAGACCTGCCTGCTGCATTTCCAACACAAGAGAGTATATCTGCTTGCTTTTCTCAGTAAACTTTCCACCGTTACCAACAGGCATCGTGCGTGTAACTTGAAGATAGAAGTTCAGACCTGTCTGGTATTTAGCTGCTACGACTCACTGTCCGCAGAGTAGCAATCCCATTCGCATCCTGCGTCGATGAGGAGTACCTGAGGCTCTAACTGCCTTGCGGGTGTAGGACTGTGTGTCAGGGCACCGTGATTCAAATGATCGTGTGGCTTTACAGGTCCCCAGGTGAACTCTCGGTCATTACAGCAGTAGTGTAACGTAGCGGCTCTCCTAGAGGCAGCGACGATAGGGAGATATGCCTGATGAACGGCCCTGATGTCATTGGTGAGTTATCGGGCATCAATATTTAGTGCGTTCGTACCCTTCACGCCGGCACGACGCAACAAAGATAGCCTCCGCCTCTGCCTCTTTCTCAATCAGCCACTCTCCGGGAAGAAGTGGACGATCAATGCCTGCGCCTTTTCCCTGAACAATCTTACCCTGTACCGCGTTGCCCAAAACGCGCATGACTGTCTCATGCGCCCTGGAGCTGATATCATTTGCGCGGCGGAGCATCGCTACCTCGTTCTCATCCTTGATCAATCGTGTCTTGTGCAAGGAAGAGAGTAAGTATGCATCCGTTGCGGTGTGGGTCTCTGATGTAACAATAGTCGCCATGTACTCCTCAGGTAAAGTGGGAAATTTTGGCGAGTTGCGCGGCAGGGTATGGAAGACAGCTTCGGGATGTGACTGGAGGAGCAAACTGATAGCACTTTGTAACTCTGAGCTATACGCAATGTCGGTTATGTCGAACGACTGCTTCGCTTCCTCGATTGTAGGTGGGGGAACACTCCACATAAGGTCTGCGGCCTCTACTTCCGGAATGGACAGCCTGATGCTCAGCCTTGTAGAAGAATTTGTCTGTGCAGGCTGATACAAAGCGAGAAGGAACGATCCAGGCACAGAGCATCCTGTGAGGTAGTAGAAATTAGACTCTTGGCGAAATGGTAGCTCGCGATCTGTGTCGTTTCTAAAAGGTGTGTTTCCTCCTGCAAGAAGAATGACTTGGGGCTAATCGCGTTAATCAATGCTAACGTTAGTCTACGGGATATCATATTGAGCTACCTTCTCCTTCAACTGCGATGGAAGCACATTCATAAGTTGTTCGAACGTCCTCTGCACGTGCGCCATTGCTGCGTTCAGATCAGTCGGTTTCCCTTTGTCTATATTGTAAGCACTAACCGAGGTAATTCGACCCGGACATGATGCTTAATGACTAGTGATGGAGTGGATGGGTTGTGAGATTAGATCCGTGCCGGGGTTAGTAGTATTCTGGACCGGGCCGTAGGGACGGAAGCTTTATTATATAATAATTCCCACACACTCTCATTAAGCTTGATGCTCAGTATCGTCATTAATATTATTATCACTGACCTTCAAAGACTCGGTAGTCGAGTACCAAGCTGTCTACTATGTCCTTTATATCCTCTATAATCTCCTGGCTTAGTAGGTAAGCCAGCCTTTCCTTGAAGTAGACAAGGCCTTACACATCGAATCCCGCAGCATATTCTTCTCCAAAGCCGCTGAAATATCCGTGGTTGGACTGCAGGTGCGTGGACCCGTAGATCCCAAGTTCAGGTAATGACACCGACATACCTTCACGAAGGCTTCTGGAAAGACTTCGTTTGTAAATGTCATTGGCTCGGGGCAGGTGCGTCTATCTCATTCATGGCTTTTCCTTCGCCCAAGCCGCTTACCCTCACTTAGTGGTCGGAAGACGTCGTTCCAACTGTCGCATTCAACTACCGCAAGGTACGCAAAGGCGCTGTGACATTGAAGATATGGGATGTTGCAGGACAGCCCAAGTTTCGCTCAATGTGGGAGCGCTATTGTAACGGAGTCGATGCTGTAGTGTACGTTGTCCGCTTCTTTGCGTTTGATAGCCTGTTTTATTTTCAGAATGCTCTTTCACTACAGATTCGTAATTGACTCGGCTGACGTAGGACTTGCTATGTAATCGCTGGTGTTTTAGTTCTAACGCCAACGACTGTTTACAGCAAGAGAAGTTTGACACGGCACGCTTCGAATTGCACCAACTATTGGCGCAGCCGAATCTAGCAGGTGTTCCTCTTTTGGTGGTGAGTTTATTACCTCGGGGCATCCACAGGGTTGCTTATATTGGCACAGCTTGGAAACAAGAATGACGTTCCCTCGCATGCATCTGTCAAGGATATTATACACGACCTGTGAGTAGAGTGTCTTTAGTACTGCATACCCACTCATCTTGTGGGAAGTCAACTGGACAAGATACAAGACCGCCCAGTCTCAGTACGTCTTTCAGAATTGTTGTAAGCTTTCAATGCATCACTGAGATATCGTTTTAGTGTTACTCGGTGAGTCTTCTTATACTGGATACCATGTGCGCTAAGTCTCTATCAGTGTTCGATGAAAAGCCAACATAATTTGTGCGTTTCACTTGTCTATCATGATCTCATCTTGAATCTCAAACTCTGAACTAATTGTGCGATGATCTATTGTAGGGACATAGTCCTCCGCTGGCTCTCAGATCGTAGTCATTAGGCTTGGCGACCCGCTGCGTGGTGTATGGAACGTAATCGACATCGCCCATTTTCAGGTATCTAGTAGGGTTGTACGACACTCGTATTAACGCAGACATACCATTATGAAATGACCCACAACTTGAGAAGGCATGGGAAAAGAACATACCAGGTTTTAATTCTTTAAACGGGAATTTGCGACACCTGGGCAGTCCGTCATCTGCACCGCATCGCTCAACCTGGTTATGATGGGATCGCCATCGCTCATTTTCAAGTTTACATTGGAAGGAGAAGGACATGTACAGGTGGTGACTTTCTCGAAGATATTGCTCTCGCTGACGAATAATTGCTACTTACCAATTCCACTTGACTGAGTGTCCTGCTGTCCGACGCAAGCAATCTCGGATGTATTGTCAGATCTGGTACTTGCGATGAGCAAGCTTGATTAGTCTCAAATTTACTCCTTAAGTTTTGTCCAAATACTTCAGCGATATCTTGACTGTCACTACTTTGGAGATAATATTTCCGTGTGCTCGCAAACACTGCAATAACCTGCGCACAGAGCTGGGTAGATGAAAAACTAGCAGTAGCAGTTTTTCAGTTTGAAAGACGATATTGCAAAAATGATCGCAAACTGCTTGTCGCTCATGTAGATCACATTCGGCGGTATGTCACTGAATGATAAAAGACACATCAAAGAAGCCATTTAGTGAATCAGCCCGTGCTTTATGCCACGTATCCTGGGACTAAACGTCTTGCCCCAGAACAATGTCGCTGTTGGTGATCGTCTGCTGTAATAGAAAACACTCATATTAGCTTCCGTGCATGAATCCAACTCGTCAAGGCATATGTACATCCGTTGCATTGTAGTTTCCTGCAAAGAAGTCGTGCGGAACGAATAACGTGACAAATGTATAAGCTTGTACATGAACACTAAGCAACCCCCCGCACTTGAAAGGACAGTGGTGCATAAAAGAATAGTCCGATCGACACTTACACACTCCCTAATCCTCTTCCATCCGCTCTTCAGTACCGCCTTCCTGTCTTGCTTGTTCAGCGATAGCAGCTAGGAACGCGCCAACACCCATCGCAGCACTCTCAGGAAGACCAAGGCTCCTCACAAATTCACCAAGTGCGCCCGTGCGAAGCGCCCGATCAAGCTGTGCTACAGCAAGGCGGAAAGGTGGAGAGTTAGTCGTGCGCTGTAATATTTCTACTGCCTGCTGGGGTGTAGCGTCTGACGATGGGATAAGTTCAGGTGGAAGATGAGGAAAGAGTGATGGGAGGAGTTCAGGGTGTGATTGAAAAAGCTGAAGCAAATTTTGTGAGGACAAGACATCTGTCAACCAAAGTTCTGTAGATTTATTAGTGATGATGTAGCCTAATTGAAAAAGTGTGAATACCATCTTCACTCGCGAAGCCGGTCATCGAGCTAACAATACCACGAAGCTGTGCAAGCTGTTCTGGGGTAGTACCCGCTGGCGTGGAATTACTAGTCGCTGGAGCGACTGGCTGTCTATATATCAAAATGTACATATGAATCGCCTACTGTGTTGCAGGTGAAAGAATGACTTACACAGTTGAAGAGGTGGATGTACTAGTAGCAGATGTAGAGGCTTCCGACGCTGGGTAAACGTTGCGCGCGTCCCAGATAGCAATAATGTTGGGATCAGCTAACGTTCTGTTCAAATTCGTCACGAATTCCTCATCACGACGTGTTGACGAATCCTGAAAGACCATCGGACATATATCAAAAGAAATAGGCGCGAAAAAAACACACCTGGAGCCAGAACTGACGTAGAAGGAGCGAAGTTAGCCAGTGAAACTGCAGTCAAGTGAGACACATACGAAATGTTTTTGATCGGAGCTCTCGAATTTAAGGACATAGGTTCTGCCCCAACTGCTTTGGGGAACTTTTTCCAGCTTTGCATCACCAGGAAACAATATTAGATCTTCGCCCACTTCCCCTGTCGTTCGGTCTTTCCACATGAAGTGTATGTATCCGTCTTCATTGGTCAAGACAATCGCGCCTTTGGTGGGGGATGCATCGACGAAATTGGTTCCAGCGCGTCGAAAAGCACGACCAGCCTTGAAGGCAAGGATGGTTCGGCCACTAGTACTAGTGAGGTCGACCGACATTATAAACGGTATGAAACTGCTGCAGTGTTCAAACGACGCGTATGCACGTCGGAGTTTAGAAATGACCACAAGTTGAAAGATGCCGGCCACCAAATTCTCCATCATTGGATTCTCGCGTTCCGTTGTGAATAAAGCAAACCTACGATATCCGTGACGTTCTTGGGATTTGTGGTCCGACTCTGCTATTGTGGGGTCACTCTTCCGTCAAAGATTATGTGCATGTTCGAGGGGGTTCAATGATGTTCGTATGTAAGTAAGTCCAAGTCACTTGAATAAATCACGACATGAATCTGATGTAAACTTTCTCGACCACAACTGAATTCATATCCTGCTGCGTCAGCCTCTCCCGGAACCCGCCGTAATCTTCACTGTCAGCCTCTCATTAATCCTTCGTCCCATCGCCTTTCACGTTGCCCACCGTGCCAACAGACAGCACTAGACAGCCTCACAGTGGCTGAACATTGATGACGGGATGATATCAAGACCAACAGCTTCGAAACTTGTTTGAACCCATCAAACACCCCCCAGACTTTGGCCTTGACATAGACCGGCCATACTTAACTCCCCGTCGTTCTCCTCAAGGTCTGCAAGGATAGCGTAGATTTGGCTACCTAAATAGTATGTCTTTTCCTTCTATGATCATATCCCTCTATAATCATAGGATCTCCCCACTGGTACATCATTCACCGCCCTGCAGATCTGAATCAATCGACGTGATTGGGGCGACAAGTAATATGTATAAATATATGCTAGCGTCGATAGATAGAAGATACAATGATCAACGAGTTGCATAATCGACGTAATCGACTACTTCCTGTGGTTATAAGGTTGGTTGCACATCGGTTTGCTAACCATTGTTTGAATCATGGCCCCTGATAGTCGCCTTGCTATCCTCGCTATCTTACCTGCCTCGTTTGTTGTCATCACATACCTCAAGCAGATGATCAGGAACAGACAAAACAAACCTTGCCTTCCTCCTGGCCCAGTACTGCTCCCATTGTTAGGAAACATCTTATCTATCAACACCAAGGAGCCTTGATTGACTTATACAGAATGGGCTGCTGCTTATGGTACATAGTAGAAAGCATTATGGTATGTGATGCAGATCATTATATCAGGAGACTTGGTTTTTGTGCGACATCTAGGACAGGAAGTAGTAGTGATCAACTCTCAGCACATTGCAGAGGCCTTAATGAATAAGTGTTCTCACATTTACTCCAATCCATACATAGCCACACTTGTGCTGTGCATTCTTCTGACATTTTTCCATTTAATAATTATGAAGTATATATAGGTTTGGTTGGTTGGTCAACTTTGGATTGGCAAGCTATGGTGATGAATGGTGTCTTTGCCGATGACTCTTCTACCAAACTTACCATTCCGAATCTGTCCTCAAATTTTGTCCAATGCAGATCAAGCAGGCTCATGAGATGATCATCAACCCGTTCATAGATCCTCATCATCAGTCACAATGTCAGCAACATATGGCTACCAAACCACTCCTCGAGATGATCCTCTGGTTCAAATCGTAGAAAATGCAGTGGCTATTGGCTTTCAGGTGATAATCCTAGAGAGAGCAATCTTGCTCAAAATGTTCCCCTTCAGTGAGCTCCGCTCTTTTTCTGATGAACATAGCTGACATCCTGTACTCTGATGTCGTATTGACATTACCTGACTGGTGCTGGGGATTCTCAATCAAATGTGAGGCTCAAGCATCAACCAAACTCATGACTGAAATGACAGAGGTGCCATTTCGATATATGAAACAGCATATGGTGGGCATCCTTCAGTTTTGAAAACATCAGTCCTGTCCTAGTTATTGATTACATGACCATCAAGGCCGAAAACTTGGCCCTTGGTCAGTTTTCGATGGTGGAAGAAAATCTTCAAAGAATGGACAAGCAAGATCAGACATCCAAACCATTGTTTGAGGCTGCCTTAAAGATAGCAGCTACTACTGCTATTATAGGTCTGTTATTCTTTTTTACAAGGGATGGTATACTAATCTTTGATACATATCTACGCAGGTTCATATGAAATGGTTAGTGGATGTCCGAATTATATTGTCAATCACTGAAGTTTTTTACAGACTACTTCAGTCTTGATAGCTTTTGCTCTTGCCATGGCATCTTACCTAGATGTTCAAAAACACGCACAAGTGGAGATTGACACAGTGGTTGGACATGATCCCCAGTGAAAATTGACAAGAATGAGGTAGATAGGTAGCGATACACGTCTAAGTACCAAATGATATAGATAGCAATCTAAATAATTCGAGATGGAAAAATGCAAATTGTAAAATTAAATGCGAAGTCCAAACTTGCAAGAAATTTGCAGTGTATTTGCTGCAAATGTTGCAAAGCTACGCCTAGATTAACATTGCAATTGCGCATATACACTTCCTTGATCACGATCACACAGCTACATGAATTCTATAACCTCCGAGAGCCTCGAGGCTGGCATACATCGACTTGCAAACGGTACTGATACTTACATATGTGATTGTGATGCCTGCCTTCGGAAGAACAAAGGCAAGCCCAAGCACGTACCCTGAACTACTTACTTCCGGCACAAACCCAACAGACTCGCTAGACTTTTCCCCCCACCACTTCCTGCACAAACTCCAGCTCCTATACCAGTGCCATTGTCTAGCAAGCATCCTCTGGATGCTTCTGATCACCCTGAACAGCCACCCATATCGAAGCACAAGGATGATCGGATTATTGCCATTGATGGCACAGAAGACGGTGTGTTCATAACCCTGAGATAAATATCAATTTGCTGATATGAATAATAAGATTTTGATATACCTGAGGCTGCTGACAATATCCCAGGCCCTGACACACTCAATGGAACTTTTGATCACCTCGAGGACACCAATTTTGGTGATATGGGACCCAAGGACAGGGAGGAGGAAGAGGAAGCTCGTGTTGAGGAAGCGCAAGCTCGTGCTGAGGACACCAATTTTGGTGATACAGGGCCTGAGGACAGGGAGGAGGAAGAGGAAGCTCGTGTTGATACAGGACCCAAGGACAGGGAGGAGGAAGAGAAATCTCGTGTTGAGGACAATATACCCGAGAACTTTGATCAAGACATGCCCCCGGATGACATCGATCTCGAGGGTGCGGACACTGACTTGGGAACCATGGGCTGGACAGACGAGGACTTGGACAAGCTACAGCAGATGGCATGCCTTGAAGATGCCCAGGATTTGATGTCATTCATTACTGCTCTCTGAAAAGCATCCCTAGACGATGCACACTCTAAACTACCTCCAGACGCACTAGACAGACTTCGAAACCCTTCCCGTGAACTCCCCGATATGTCAGATCCTGATCTTATCCTTTCGTTAAAATATTACTTTGCAAATACAACAATCGCTGCTTACAATCTTATCCGCGAGGCCACGATCAAACGACACCCTGAAGATGATGTATACAGTCATTACCGGGTTAAGCAAGCTGTCTGTGAACTTAGTGGTGTCATCCTGATCATTAATGACATGTGTACCAACACATGTCTTGCATTCACAGGTCCGTATGCTGAGCTCGATCATTGCCCTCGATGTGGAGAAGATCAATGGGACGCCAAAAAAAGCTCACCTCACAAGAAGGTAGCTCGGAAAACATTTGACACATTTCCTGTTGGACTGCAGCTCCAGGCCCTATGGCGCCATCCAGACCAGGCAAAGAAGATGTAATGGCCCCAGGAGTACACCAACAAGATATTGATGAATTGAAGACAACCGACGGCATTCTGGAGGTATATGAAGATGTTCTTCATGGGAAGCAATATCTGGACGCATGCCAATCTGGCAAAATTAAAGATGGTGATGCAGTTCTTATGTTCTCGATCAATGGTGCCCAGCTCTATGAATCCAAACAATCTGACTGTTGGATATATATTTGGGTAATCTTTGATCATGCGCCAGACGTCCGGTACAAGAAGAAGTACATACTCCTGGGTGGTATCATTCCTGGCCCCAAAAAACCCAAAAATCTAGATTCTTTCATTTTCCCTGGCCTACACCATCTTCATGCAATTCAGACAGAAGGGCTTCCAATTTGGGATGGTGCAAAGAAGGCTCTATTTCAATCTAATCCCTTTCTCTTTGTTGCAACAGCTGACGGCCCCGGCATGGCATTTCTTACTGGCCTTGTGGGTCACCATGGCAGATTCACATGTCGTCTCTATTGCGGACTCCCAGGGAGACACAAACCAGGTGCACCTACATACTATCCTGCCCTACGTCAACCTGAAGGTACTGATCAACCTGATCACCCCGACTTCTTCATTGATTGGCTTCCCCTTCCCAGATCATTTGATTATGAATGGAACCTCAAGTGTGTGATCTGCTGTTCCAACATGGCCGAATATGAGCTTGCACGCCTCGAGACAGGCATTACGAAACCAAGCATCTTCTACGGCTTCAACACTGACCGTATTTTGCTGGTGCCGCTGTGCTTTGGCTCTGACATCATGCACATCACTGCCATCAATACTGGCGATCTCCTTCTACCCCTCTGGAGAGGAACCTCTAGAGCCGAGACTACAGATGATAAATCCACGTGGGCCTGGGCTGTTCTGATGAAGGCAACTTGGAAGGCACATGGATCTCTGATCACAGATGCAACACCCTTTCTGCCAGGTTCATTTAATCGACCTCCTCGTAATCCTGCAGAGAAGATCAATAGTGGGTATAAGGCCTGGGAATGGCTTCTCTACCTGTATGGCATGGCACCAGCCACACTCTATGGCATTCTGCCTGAGCCCTATTGGTTGCATTTTTGCCATCTTGCCCGGGGACTACGTCTAATGCAATAATACCACATATCTAGATCTGATCTCATTGAAGGCCACCATCACCTTCTTAATTTCGCAGATGAATTTGAAGAGCTCTATTACCAGTGCCAGATCAATCGGCTTCATTTTGTACGACCATGGCTCCACTCGATCACACATATCGCTGGTGAGACAGTCAACAAGGGACCACCAATTTGTTCGTCACAATGGACGATGGAGCGAACCATCGGCAATCTAGCTCAAGAGATACGACTACACAACTCCTCTGTCTACGCTAATCTCTCTCAACGTGCTGCTCGTCGTTGTCAAGTCAACGCCATCAAGGCTATCATTCCAACAATTGAACCATCAGATAATGCTTCCCCAAAGGGCTCGTTGGATATCGGCCAGGGATATTTACTGCTGCAGTGAAGAGAGAGAACAGCCCATGCAGTACGTCCCTGTGAGGCCCAAGTACTACTTCGCTACCTGTCCGACAATGATGTCCATGTTACCTCTGCCCCTCTCATCACTCGATGGGCTCGTCTTTGCCTTCCAAATGGGCAAGTTGCACGGTCTGCATGGAAGGAAAATGCTATGTCCAAGCAACCAAGAATGGCATGCAATGTGAAGGTATTTTTTTCATGGTCACTCTATTAGTATTATACATTGACACACACACTAAAGTTATTGATTGACAGCAAGACCACTGTTGCTGAAGTCTTATTTTATTTCAATATGATGCTTCACGATGAAAAGAAGACCTTTGCTTTCGTATCTGAATTCAGCCAGCTGCACACAGATCTATTTGAAAACTCATCGCAAATGGTCTTTGCCTGTCGTTATTGCGGAGATGCTTCATTGAAACTTGTCGAGATTCATACTATACAGTCTGTGGTGGCTATGATTCCTCATAATTTTCCGGGTATTGATGGTGTTCTTTTCTACCTCGTGGAACAACCAGGGTTGGACATTATAAGAATGGGTGGTGTGGAAGAGGAGGGTATTCTTGATGAAGAATGAGTTCAATTACTTTTTTATACGAGATGCAAACATGTTTATTTATCTGACTACTGCATCACTAAAGAGCTTCTTCAAGTTCTTGTTTCATTGCATGAACCACAAGAAAATTCTTGTCTGTACGCAATTGATTGTACCATGCTTCATCCTCCTCCTTCGACACATACTTCCAGTAAATTGATTCAGGTGGTGGTGGGCTTGGTATTGTAAATATGGACTTCATATTACTTTTGGGCATGGAGAGAACTGGTTTGGTGATAGTGGACGAGTGTGCCATTGGCTCAGGTGGGTCGCTTTCAGGCTCAGTGACACTTTCAGGATTGTTCACACAAGAAGGGATGATGACTTGCTGTGGTGTTGGCTCAGGTGGGTCGCTTTCGGGCTCGGTGATGCTTTCAGGATTGTCCACATGAGGAGGAGAGATGACTTGCTGCAGTGTTGGCTCGGGTGGGTCGCTTTCGGGCTCATCAGGCCAGGGAGGCATAGTATTTGGGTGATGCCTTCAATATAAGTTGTTGAACTAAGATATAATCATATAATAATGACTCACAACAGTTGCTGTCTAATCAAGTGTTCTTTCTCTGAATGTGCATGCCAGTATGCTGGGTTGACAAACATATCATCCGAGGGTGTCATCTTCGGTGTGCTGGAACGACTGTCTGAGAAAGATATGCTAAGATACATTAGTAATAACAGTGTTAGAAGTGATGGAGAACATACCTAGTATCAGCATCGTAGCCATCAATATCCTGATCAAAAGACATATCTAAAACTCATTGAGTGGATGTAGGATGAATGGACAATACTATAGAATGAATTGAACTTAGTCCGAAGTTTCCTTTCTTGACTTGTACCGCAGCGCCCCTTCTCATCACACCATCATTATGCCCGACACAACGACTTCACCAACAGGATACGCCAATCTCCTCATGTCCCAAATTTCTCTACAACATTCTTTTAATCCACAACTTAATTCTGGCGGCTCACATAATTTTCAAAATACCCAGCGTGATTGCGATACCAATAATACCATGAGTTCTATGATAGAGAACTTGTTACATTAATGAGATACACGTGTTATTAGTCTACCATGTTGCACGAAGGGCTCTGGGCTCTTCTTGATCAGGGTCATTTATCTCCCAATGATCCTGACGTCAACATGATCTCACAATTGAAGCGAGAGATATCAGAACTCCAGCACACAGTCACCTTTCTCCAGTCAGAGAAAACACAACTCGTCAATGAAAACTTGTGTCTGAACACGAAATGCGAAACATTGCAGTAAGTTCCAGTCATATCATGTGCATATATGCGCACCATGTTTGCTGACCATGTTTGCTGATGCAATCAATGATGTCATGGTATATCTTCTCTCAGGACCATACTTGTTAACAGTCGAGGTTCTGCCAGCTCAATGGCATCAAGTTCTTCTTTGTCAGTTGCGAGTGACAGTACTGCGGATCGAAAACCTACTCTTTTGGATGTCACTTGTGAAGATTCTGATCATGACCTCAATGCAATTGATTACCCACTGATCAGATCATGGACGAAGAAAGACTGGCAGGAGAACATGCCATCAAGTACATCAGCCAATCCTGGATCCTCTGGGAAAAAGCGAGGAGCCACACGCATGGCACGAGGCATCAATGTAGCATGTACCTACCTGCAAGACCAAGCTGGTCAGCCGGTGTCTGCACAATGGGCAAAAACCATCCGTCTTTTCATGCTGTCATGTTTTCGACAACTCGAATCTCAAGGTCTCGCGCCCGAATCCATTGGTCCAAGCATCACTCAAAGTCCTACACTGGCTTATTCACATGCTACACAAACATTACATTGAACTCCAGTCTATGCACTGACAATTGGAAAGCTATGAAATTAATGATCGTCAACTATTCCCAATGGTACAACTACCACGTTGTGAAGAAACAAACTAGCGGTCATGTCAAGTCCGAAGACATAGAGACTGCCGACGATGACAACAACAACAACAAGTCCCTACTGGCTTCAACACCTGCTGCTACCCCTCCTTCTTCCTCACCATCTGCGACACCTGCTGTTATCCCCCCTTCCTCATCTTCTTCAATGCCTGCGGCTACCCCTCCTTCCTCATCTTCAACTTCTCAGAAACAAGTTAACATTGATATCGACCCTGTCGCAGAACCAGCATTGAAAAGACAACGAGTCGAAGTGGAAGAACGTGAACCAACCCCACCTCCCCATACCGACAAAGGAAAAGAGAAGGAAGTGATTACTGTGGAGGTCAACAATCCTCTGTAAGTGATCGCTCTATTGATAATTCCATTCTACTGATACTATTAATTTAGTTCTAATCTTGTCTTCAAACCTCGCCCCAAGCCAATCCCAAAGAAAGCTCCTGCCTCCATCGACTCTGCCACTTCTGGAACCACTAGCACCGAGCCGACTATCATCACCCCTCCATCCAATGACCCATCGGATACCAATGCAGCTTCCCTCGCTGTCAAGATGGAACTCCTGGTAGCAACCCCCATGGAGCCCACTCCCAGTGCAATCAACTCGAAGGCCCAACCTGCAAAGAAGCGTCAGCTGAGCACAAAGCCCATGCGTGTGAGCTCAAAGATCATGGCACGGTAAGATTTATCTATTACGGTCACAGCAAGTAAGGCTAACACTATTATTATTATAGGAATCTTTGTGCCCTCGAATGGCAATCGAACGGCCATCAGAAAGAACCGGCAAGTGTCTTTGCAACCTACTGGAACGGTCTATCGAAGACTGACAAAGAGGTATGTCGTTTTTGTATTGATGTCATTTATCTACTGACTAGCACTATTATTGAAGGTATACAAGCACAAAGCGGCTCTACAGGTGCGTGGTATTCATGATATCTGCGAGTATCTTCATACTAACAATGATTTGCCTTATAGCTCGGCTCGGCTGGACCAACCAAAAGGAACGGCGCCAGCGATGATACAGATGAGGAGTAGCAGATGGATACGAGGCAGGATGGTGGGCGCGGGCGCAGCGATACCACTACCTAACCATAGCGATACCTATAGATACATCATTCAATGGCATTAGATACCTATTCATGCCATCTAATTGGAACATTTTCAGCACATGTTTGCATCTAAAACCCATCTAAAGCCAACTAAAATTGTATCGAAGCATTAAAAGTTCGTTTCGGTCTCTATCGTTTTTCATCTCGAAAAGTCCCACTTTTCTAAAGAGGTTGAAACATAACAAAAAAATTCATTCCCTCATATTTTTTCGATCTATATCTACACTGTATCTACGTCATTCTTGTCGATTTTCACTGGGCATGATCGCTTACCCACATTTGAAGACAGAGCATCACTACCATATGTTGAATCAGTTCTATGGGAGACTTTGCGATAGCAGCCTATCTTGGTAATCTTCTTTGCTGATGGATGAAGCCTGCACTGAAGATGATATTATAGTGCCACGTGCCACGTGCCACTTTGGTTACATCATCCCAAAAGGTCCGCCATTTTCATCTAATGAACAAATCATCAGTAACATTATACATCAGGAGTGACTGTCCTATGCAACCTATGGTCAGTGCATTCTTTTCAGGTTTCAAGATGCTGAAAGATATACCCTAGGTGCATTTCACAGGATGAAAAGTGGTGCCCCAAAGTATCTAAGTTTATACCAGAGAGGTTCATGGATACAAATGGTGTGCTGACAGACAATGATCCAGCTGATTATATGTTTGGCTTTGGCTGGTGTAGATGTCCAGGTCGGTTGAATCCATTGCTGTATTGCATGCAATGAGCCAATTACTCTTTGATCAGGCCAGTTTGCTGCTGGTGTCTCTATCTGGTTTGCTATTGTTACTATGTTGGCTACAGCGGAATTTAAATTTGCCAGAGATGACCAAGGCAAAGTGATCAAATTCACTCCTCAATTCATGATGAGATTCATTCAGTACTTGTCTTCTTGTGTTATTTTGTCCCATTATTAACATTGTCACTGCTTTAGTGCTGTTATGGTTTTTTCCTGCAGTGTTTTGCCACATCCTCATGTTCATTCAGAACTTGTGGGTGCTTTATGAATGGGAGAGTAATATGTATATGGTGAACGACTTGTCATCGTCCTTTTCTATGTCCTGACTTAAGCCAACTGTCAATCAGTCTCCTACATGTTCTTTTTGTGTCATGGTGCTCTCAGTGTACCTTTATTTGACACATCCTTTTCCAGTCCAAGTTGCGCTGGCACACACCTTGTTCAAGTAGTTTTGATTTTTTGCTTTGTCTATCATCATTTTTGTATTCTATGAGTGAAAATATAGGAAAATGGTGCAGCAGAAGGTCTTATTGAGTTGGACACAAGTCTTGGATATGTTCTGCAAAGTAAAACAAACTCACGTGTTACAGTGAACCTGAAAAAAAAACACATAGAGTCTCAAAGTGGTGCTATGAGACTCCAAACTGATATTTTTGTGTTGTATGTTGTACACTGCCTAGTCTACTATACTTGGCAATAAGTGCATTTGACCCTAAAGGGGAGGCAGGTGCAACAAAGGTCTAGAAATGGGCACAGAGAGTTAGGGTACTGCACAGGTTACAGATACAGGTATCACTAGGGTATGGGTATGGGTCTGGGGTCACAGTACCTGAACCTGAACCCATACTCCTGCCACGGGTTTCAATAGAAATGAGTACCATGTGATCAATAAATTTTGACTACCTACTAAACAAGTTGTCAAACTCTAAAAGAAACTGCAAAACTCTAAAGACCAATATACAGCTTTGGCCTGGCCTGGAATGGCTTGGGCATGACCATAGCTTTTGGCAACCAAATAGATTAATATACTCAATGTTACACTATGTACTAGATCTGATCTGCTGATTCAATATTAATGTCATCCCTATCATCTGACTCGTCCAAGATCTGTTCATCCCAACCCTCCTTGTCATCACCATCTGCAACCTCGCCAGTCTCTGCTTCATTATTGGAGTCATCAGTTTTAAGCTTTGCAAGAGCCAACAGACAAGGCTTGCAGAATAAAAGATTAGGATGCAGAAGGTATTCGACACATTGTAAAGCTTCAATGGTGTGAAGAGTAAATCTCCGCTAGGCTCAGCAGAAATTGTACTACCTAGTCAACAATATTTAGATAGATCTTTTGCACGACCTAGTCTGCTATACTTGCAGAGCAAGTGTGATTGCTAATTGGTATTAGTAGTATAAATGTGTCAGTAATGCAAATAACAAATGTCCAAAGCTAAGAAACAATGTCCAATGGTAATCCGATGATGTCCGAGGGTACTTATCTGATGTAACAATGGTCGCGGTGCTGGGCTCGGAACCAGGCAATCCAACACCTACGTCCCATACCATTTCCCGACCTCCCATACCATTCTCCGACCTCCCATACCATTCCCCAACCTCCCATACCATTCCCTGACCTCCCATACCATTCCCCAACCTCCCATACCATTCCCCGACCTCCCTTGACCTTCCGAAGGCCACATGCACTTGTCTGAACCTTCTGCAGGCAGTTCTTGCATTCCGAGGTCCATCCAAACCTCGCGAGTTACCATACCATGTCCTATCCTCGTCCTTTTGACTTCGCTGGTGTGTTTTTCCTTATTCTAACTATATGTTGACTATGTCTTAGTGCTACATGGATAAATTCCATTGGCATCCTGTCGGGAGCCTTGGAATACGTATAAACAGTACACATCACAGCTTATTACATGTATACTTGCATTTCTGCTTGCCTCATGGCTTATTACATAGGTTTGGACTTGCTTATCTCACTACTAGTTTCGCCTATGGATTCTGGTCTCTCATGGAAGTAGGATATAATCTCGCTTGCTGGCTACTGATACTTCACTTCACTTCCCCTACTTCAAGTCGTAATTAGTAGAGTCACCTCAGTATAATTGTAACTGCGCAATCAATCTTTGTTCATTCGGAACGATTGTTTGGCTAGACCGCTGCCAATTCTGCGCCTTGTTTATTCTTGAGTTCCGATAGATTAGCATTGTTCCAGACTTCGGACATTTCACAAAGTCTTATATTGTTATTCAACACATCGACATACCGACACATCAACACACTGACATATATTGACCTTCAGACAGCTCTCGCAAACCTCGGAAGGCATCACACTACTTCGGACAACACTTTTGCAGCTTCGGATGACTTTCGGTCGCATTGGACAAGTACCTCGGTACTTTGGATGTAGTCTCGGAACTCTGGACGAACATTAGAGAGGTTTACCTCCAATATCTTGTCTACTCTCTAACTGTATAAGACTTCCCTTGCATTATCAAGGTAGTTCTTTAGGTTGTCTCTTGTGACGAAGCATACTCACATCTCTCAGGACTAGGGACTCACATTCTGTAGAGCCCAGCCCAGATCTACTCTTTACATCGATGTCCGAAGCCAAAGTGCAATGTTCGAGATTTCGGACTTTCGGACTTCACAAGTATAGGTTGGAAACTGTGTAATGAGTGTTGGGTTGCGAGCGGTATTGCGAGTATAATGAATGGCGGGTTTGTGACAGTGAATGAACATTGATATTTCGCAATGCAACTAAGAACTATGAGAATATTCTGGGTGATCTGCAGAGTCGGGAAACAGCTCCTAACTACTGGATGATTATTGCTATGGGTCACTACAGATTATTTAAGTAAGTATGTAGAAATCCAGAATACTATAGGCGAAGATAGTAGCAATATTTTTTGGGTCTGATGTCCTATGTAATAAGACATGAGGTGCTGTGAATGTGGTCTGAATGTCAGAAAATGTGCACGGGAATAACTATGCACCTAGTGAGGCTAGTTCAAAAAGACAGGGCATGGGATGGACAAGTGCGTGCGAAGTGCAATTGGCCGATGCGATGTCTGAAGGTCCAATGTGGAGTGGCTCAGACATATGCGGACATGCATCAAACATGTGCGTGTATGTTTTGGGTGTTGATGTGGATATGAAAAACCCTGGTTCCAAGCCCAGCACCACGACCATCATTACAATTGTGTCACCTTTAAGTCAATTATACCACTTACTGATTGTAATACCTCCTTGTGAGAAGGCTCATTCACTTGAGACTAATGCAGTTATGATCAATAGGTAATCTCTGGCAAGTGATGTCCAGACCAGATACCTCTGGACATTAATCTAAATGAAAATGGCCATTAGTGCTCGACATTTGATCCAATGACAGCTACTTACCCGCCACCACCATATGGTACTCATTCCAGCTGACAGAGCTGCTTCAATAGCCTCAATGTAACCAAAAAACTCAGCCCTCCATAGTTTCAATGGGTCAGCAGTAGATTCATCTGCATCTGCCTCACTGTCATCTTCAGACTTGCTCTAAACTTGTCAGATAAGTCTCTTGAGGCTGCCGACTTTGCTTTTTGTCATGAGCTGTGATGACAAAACAGTTTGATTCAACTCATAATATCATGCTTCAAACTTAATACTTGTTAGGATAATGATGCGACTCGTATGAAATAAATGACATACCACTTTCTCTGCAAATACATCATTAAGTAAATGTGATGGCCAGTGCTTTTTAAAGTATGATATTTTCATTGTTGGATCTAGCACTGTGCTTGCAAATGTCAGAGTGGACCAACAAACAAACAAGATAGTTACGAACACATGGCAATTACATACATGGGGGTGTCCATTGTCCTCTCATAGTACCCATCTAACTTGTTTGCTGCTGCCTTGAGCACATCAGTGAATCGACTATATTTAAATTTTCCTCCTTGTGATGTCCATCATCTGTGAAGAGTCTCCAGTGCTGGAATAGCAAGATGAAGAGTTGATCTGTGATCTGAAGAGAACACTTGGTGAGCAACATCAGGATACTAATAATAGAGAATCAGATCAGGCCAACAATCACAAACCAATTTCACTAAATGCACTGAAAGGAGGTCTGTGAATTGACTAGTTCATTGAAGGTGAATCAACTCAGCTCTAGGTCAAATGATGAATCAAGGGGAGGGACACAAGAAGCTGATATAATGATATGGTGCGATGCCTGGTCTGCTATGCTTGCAGGGACAAGCACATTCGATCCAAGGGGAAGCAAGGAAGACAAATCCACAGTCGCTCAGCAGCTGTGCAAGATGAGCAACATAAGCGCAAAGCATGGGGAACTTGCGTGCGGGAACACGAAATGTGAAAGTGCAAAAATGTGAAATAAGACTAGTAATGAACGAGGGCTCAATGAGTGACAACAAAAAGACTGCTAATATCTTCTGACTCTAGCTATGGACATGATGGGAGAACTCCACTAGGGTAAAGTGTGGTATAATGTGCTAAAGGGTGAAAAATGCGGACCTATATATGTGTCTTGTTAAGTGGGCCGAGTGTGAGATAATGTATGTAATAGGGTATGTAAGTCAGGGTCCATGCTCTAATATGGTGCCATATTGATTAAAATGCGAAAATACATACCAGAGAGACTTGCTGGACAGTGGATGAATGCTCCTGGATGATAGGGCGATGACAGCGCAGGAAAGTGAGTGATACGCAAGCGTGAGAACTTTGCGTGAGGCTTGCATGTGTGGGAAAGTGATGCCTGATATGGAAATAGCTGGGAAAAGGCTAGGGAATGATGCTGCAAGTTGGTGCTGTGAACTCAAGTGGTAGGAACTGAAGTATAACACATTGCAAGCCTGTAGTATTGTAAATCTCTACATTGTGTCCATTCCACAGGTGACAATTGAAAATGATCAATTTTTGAGTGTTTGATTAGATTAGATTCTTGGTGACCCATCTCATAGACAAAAGTATCAACATGCTATGATATGCAACTAATAACAAAAAAAACACACCTTGTTGCATTCAGCATAATTGAGTATCACATATATTGAAGACCAACAAACTTTCATATTGAGCAGCAGCTGTATTGGTGAAGACATGCCAGCCTTAATTTGAATGGTCTTGTATAGTTCTTTCTGTTTTGCAGATCAACATTCCTAAACATTGGAAGTC